CACTTCAGACTCTCCGGGTATCAGCAAATCCCTAAAACTCAGCCTGCTCAGGGTTCTTTTGAAATCCTGCATCAAATATGTTTTCAATGAATTCATGGAAAAGGGGTTGGGGCTGGGGGTGGGCTATGGTGGAGGGGGGAAAGAGGGAAACTTTTTAAATCTGTTTAAGTTTATAAACAAGATTAAAGAAACAATGTCAAGGGTCTTATGGAAATGGTGATAGTGCCCCTTTAAATAACAGCAAGCGGAGATTTTCTATATCACTGTGCAGTTTAAATCTGTCTTGATGGACTGGACATTAGTCCTCCTTAAATCCTTCAGAAAGCAGCTTTAAGGAAAAAGGCTGAGAGGAATTTCTTCTCGCTTTAATTGCTTAAGAAACGGTTCCCACAATGAGCGGTGGCCTAGATTCGCCTCTCATTTAAGTTCTGATTTTTAAAAGTTCACAAGTTAATCCCCTTTCAGTCTCACACGAATGCAGTTGGCACAGGGGGACAAAGTAATGGACAATGTGCGGGGGGGGGACATTTCAAACCAATTTTTTTAAAGGGGGAAAAATCCAATCCCTTCCCCCACCCCAGCTAAAAAACATCAGGGGAGGAGGGAGGTAACCGGCATGGTGTTGATTTGGTTAAGCAGCTATTTTAAGACCTTGTTATCATTAGAATACGAGGTGACTTTATACATCATGGCGAACTATCTGATATAGGCAAAGAGATGGAAGGGCACGTCCTCCCCTTTAACTCTCCGCGCTGGAAGGAAACAGAGAAGTCAAAAAGGAATAATTCCAACATATTTCCAAGGAAATATGGTTAACCCACCCACACCCCCACAAAAAACCCACCACAGTTCTTACGCCACTAATTAGGATGCAAAAAACTTTCAAAGGGGAGGGGGTGAGCACTGGAGAGATGCTCATTTTTAAAACTGTTCAAACTTAACAGTAAGGTGGTTCTTATTTTCTCTTCTTCTTCTTTTTTAAAAAAAGACGCTTTAAGTTGTCACTCGAAAAATAACGATGAGGTGTGAAGTAGTATTTAAAAAAAACCAGAACCGAGTGTTGCACTAAAATAATTATCAGAGGAAGTGGGAATAAAATGGGTGATGCTGGTGAGATCGCAATTTTGACAAAGATTGGAAACTTTGGTGTGGAATTTAGAGAGAACGGTTCGAATTAAGTCAGTGGTGTTCATTCCCATACAGGCGCTTCGAAATCTCGCATCAGTCATCTACAGGAAAGATTTTGTTATGTAGAAAGAAACTGGATTTCTTTTTTAAAAAAAAAAACAACTAAACTCAGATTACCATAAAAATAAAGAAATCATGGGGGTGTTATTTGATAAAGTTGTACCAAGTGAGTTTTCATATAATCCATAGTAAGATTAATGAAGCTGATTTTAGAACATTGTTGCATCAGAAGGAAAAACGTTCTTCGCTAAAAACGGTGGAGTTTTTGACATCCATTTTTAACCAGTTGCCGTCTAGGAAAGAGAGTTTGGGTCGCATGGGTGTATATTATTTCAGCACACATGTTATAATTTTAAAAAGTAGTGAACAAAAATAATAATTTTATTGAAGTCCATAGAAGGGAGTAAAATATGTTTTACCAAATTATAATTAAAGCGTCTGCTTTTTTTGTTTGATTTACGAAATCGAATCCTGCCCTTTTGCTCAACAGATTTGTTTGCTCTTCTACATTTTACTATCAAAATCTATTCTTTATAGATCAACTGGCAGGGTAACATCACCGCAGGATAACTTAACCAAGCAGTATATGGGTCGGTTCTCCTCTGTGTGTGATCTTTAAAATAATAATAACGTTTCAACCCAAACTACGATAATTAAGAAGACCGGAGAAAGTTGTCACCTTTGCTAAGTCCATCTCTCTCTCCTTCTCTCTCTCCCTCTCCCTTCCTTTTTCACACACACAGAATAAGACAGGATAAGGTATGCTGTAAAACAACAGACGTGAAAAGGTAACTTTTGAATCGAACTTCTCTCCCGCTTCTGCCCAATCAAAAGAAGCGCAGGGTATTTATTTGTTTTGGCAAGTGTCCCCCCCATCCACCAATCACCGTCACAACTCCGAGGAGCTACAGGTTTCTAAGGAAGGAGCTGTCCCTAAAAGGGCAGCGTGGGAGCGACAGAAGAGAGAAGGGGACGGGGGTAGAGGCGAGGGCGTTGCGAGGCGTTTGGAAAGCACCGTTTCCGGGGATTCGCAGAGGAACACCTAGACTAAAAATAGGGAAAGGGTTCTGGTCTCTTTCCTCCACCATCGCTACTTCCTCCCTCCCCGCCTGTTTTAAACAGGAGCTACAGTGACTGGCTTAAACAGACCAAGAGCAAGGAAGGTTGAAGCAAAACGCTAAGCGCATTCTTTCTTTCTTTCTTTCTTTCTTTCTTTCTTTCTTTCTTTCTTTCTTTCTCTCTCTCTCTCTCTCCATCCTTCCTGTCGCCTTCTATTCCGATCAGTCTCGTTTTTGTTTTGAATGATAAACCACTATGCTGAAAAGTTTGCCCCAAGAAAAACCCCAAGCTTCAAGTTTGCCCCAATAAAATCCCGCGTCGTCGCTGCTTTTTGAGAAGCCTAACAAAACCAAAAAAGTTTGCACGAAACACGTGGAGCGGGGGAGGGAGAGAAAGGTGACAAGGCGACAAGCCGGGTTTCTGACCTTTCCTACTGACCCGATTTCATTTTCCTTGTCAGGAAAACAGAGAAATAGATAGCTCCGCGTGACACCTGCAGGCCAGGTGATCAAACTTTTCTGGATGGCTCAGAAGAGGAGGAGGGATGGCTAGCGGCGCAGGGAAGTCTCCTCACAACCCCAATCGCCACCTCTGGAGAGCCTTCCAAAGGAACATTTAAAATAAAAATTCATCTTCAGTTATTTTTCTCTCTCTTACCCCTATTTGTTTGGAAATAGATTTAAATAGCTTTGCTCTTTCTGGGAAATGCACGTTTAAAAATAATAATCATATTTCGTTCCCCGCCCCCCCTTCTTTAAGTAGTTCAGCGCCTAAGACTTTATGATCTCCACTGCGTCTTCCACACACACATACACACTTTTTTGCCAGAAAATATATAGGCTTAAATTAAAAGGTACTCCTTCTCTCCTCACTCCCCCCCCCCCTTTCAGTCTTTCTTGTTCCCTTAATTCCTGCCTAAACGGTTTTGCTCTGGGAGAAGAAATCTTTTCTAGAGGAGGGGGGGGGAGAAGCCCTCAAGAAGAGAAGGGTATTATTGTTTTAATCCTCTTATCCGCAGTCATTTTAAAACAGGGCGTTTTGGAACCTGAAATGGCGTCTTGTCCTCCCCAATCCCATCCTAAATCCTTCTGGGATGGGAGAGACTCGAAAGGCAAAGAACCCCCCTGGCATCTATTAGCGGTCCCCGCGAAGGCTTTCAACAACTGCCCTTTTCGGCAGCAAAGGCATGACAAAGCCGAAAAGCAAATAAAACCAACGCTGTGCAGTTAGTCAACTCTGCCAAAAAGAAAAAAAAGTGGGAGAGAGAAAGGGAGAGAAAGGGAGCTAGTCTTGGCTGCCTGCGGAGGGAGAAGGGGGCGAAGACAGAGACCTGCAAGGTCCCTGCAGAAGAATGTGTGTGCGCGCGTGTGACGGGAGGTTGGAGGTGTGTGGGTCGGTGTGGGGTGACAGCATAGAAATCCAAGGGGGTGGAATCTGTTCTGTCCACCCCATTGTGTCGCATCGACTCCTCCCGCCTCATTTTAATCCCTCGGATTATGTAGGGATCCAATCTTAATCCCACCGGGAGTCTTCCCGCACACCCAGAGGTGGGGAACGGTGGGAGGCCACCCCTAAACCCCGCATGGGCCAATTCACTTTCCTACGCCTTGCCTAGATGTTATTGTTTATATCCAGTTACCTCTTCGTTGTAATAATAGTAATAGTAGTAATAATAGCAGCAACCACCTCTCTTTACGTTCCTATGCCAGACACGTTGGTTTGGGGGGAAAGGGCTTCGCTTCCATCCAAATGGAGGAGCGGGGAGCGGGGGGAGCAGTGATCGTCGTTAAAAGCGGGTCAGAAGCGTCATCAACTGAGAGGTACACCGCTGAGCACTCGCTGGCGCCTCAGGGTTAGATTGTAGTAATCGGGCCAAGGTCAAGGGCGCAGTCGCCGCTAGGCAACTTCAGACTTTTCCTGCCTAGGAAGATCTCCCTCCTGTTTGACCTGAGGAACTGAGATAGGTGATCTTTTCCCCAGAAGCCTCTTTTTGGAGATCCCTCTATGCCTCACACCGGCCTTCGCCAAGCTGATGCCCTCCAGATGTGGTCAAGCTGAGAAATCCTGGCAATTAGCCATTTCTTACAGACATCCCGGCCAACCACATCTGGAAGGCACCAGGTTGGCGAAGGGCAGGCCATAGATCTAGGCGAAGGCCTTGGTTTTTGGTTGCGGGGCTGAAACTAGACTCTAAGGAAGACACTCGGTGATTCGATGCATAAGTGTATTGGAAGTGGCAGCAAGTTCGGCTTTAAAATTTCCAGAGAGAAACTGACCTGATCCGAAAGTAAACGCGTCATATAAAGAGCGCGCATCTGCTCCCAGCGGAGCGGCCAGATCAAACCCCCTTCAGGGGGCAGCCAGCCAGCCAGTCACGCCGGCCCTGGCCCTGTGGAGATGCTTGGCAGTAGGCCCTTGCCAAAAGAGGCAACTCCTTTGCGATCAAACGTGGAGAAAAGGGCCAAGAGGCGTCTCTCCGCCTTGGAGAGCCGCGGTCACTTTTCTCAGGCTCAGATCCACCACCCACTCCGGCCACTTATTAAACTCTCCTCTGCCCCTCCGCTTCTTCCACGCCAGCCTGGCTCGCCCTGATGATCTGCCAGGGATTCAATTAGATTGTTGCACCTGACTAGGCTTGGAGTAAATGACTAGAAGGGGAGGGGGGCAAAAAAGAAAAAAAAGCAGCCCATCCACCACCCTACTCCTCTTAAGTTGCTATTAGAAGAGTAAGAAGGAGGCGGAGGGAGACTTGGCGGCGGCGGCGGCGGAGGGGAGAGATCGGCAAGCCTCTCTCTTGATTGACAGGGTGAAGGACCATTGAAAATCTTGCAGGGGAGCTCCCAGGTCTGTGTGAAGCTCCTTTTAAAAATCCTTCCTGATTCCTCCTCCCCCAGTAGATGGCAGCTTTGCAGGACCCAGAGACAATTGGGAAACCCGGAGCAGGAGGAGGCTGGAGTAAGGCGCGCGCTCCCCTTCCGCTCCCGAGTCCCTTTCTGGGCACCCCACGCTCCCGAGTGAGACCCTGACGGAGGCTCCCCCCGGGCCGACTGCAGCCGAGCCTAAGAGAGGTGAGACTTCGGCTCCCAAGGTATGGCCTCCCCATCCCGCTTGCCCCTCCCTCTGCTTGACAGAGGAACTGCCCGGCGCTCGAAACTTGGCCCAGATGTTGGTCCTTCCGCGCGTGGATCCCCCGGCGCAGAGCCCGAGCTAGCAAGGAAGGAGCGTTTACACCCGGGAAGCGCGGGGAGGTTTGGCGACCATGGCTTTCTCTCTTTCTTTCTTTCTCTCTCTCTCTCTCCCTTGCTGTTCTGGAGAGGTGGGTGGGACTGTGTGGTCGCGGGGCTCGTTTCTTCGCAGCAAAGTTTCCAAAGTCGACGCTGTGCTCTTGCGCCGGTTGTCACGGGCCGGTTTCCTATTTCACAGCCAGGCACCGACCCCGCGTGTGAGTGACTAGGCGGCTACTGACTAGCCGAGGCTTCCCATCTCCCACCGTTGACCCCAGTGTATCATTTCTGGCCAGATGGCTGGACTGCTGTCCGTTCCGCCAACTCTTTCTTCTTCCTCTTTTCCTCCCTTCTTCCCTTTGAATGGCTCCGCTTTTTGGGTTTGTTCTGGCTTGGCTTCATTTGGAATAAATTAGTTTGCCCCGTAAATGTTTTTTTTTTCTTTACCCCTCCTTCCTCACCCCACTCCCCTTTACTAAATAGAGACAAATCTCTTGTCTCGCTTTTCGAATGTAATTTTTAGCAGATGGTTAAAGAAATAAAATTCAGGCGCACAGATTCGTTTGGTTAAAAGCTTTTGCCTGGCGAAGAGGCGAAGCCGCGCCACAAATGGTTTTAATACTCCACTTCAAATCTTCAAATTTGTCAAGTCTCCCCTTTGAACTTTCCATAGTACAGGCTTCAGGAGAAAGTGAAGACGGTGAAAGTTTTGTCTGTGTTTGTTTGTGTGTGTGTGTTTAAAAGATACTTCATTCTCCTACTGTTTTCCTCACATCCCTTCTATTTGCCTACGGGCAATTAACAGCGCATCTCTTCGTCTGTAGGCACCAGTGGTAGATTGTCAATTTCACCCCTATTTACATAATGATGTTTTAATAAGCTAAACAGCCTAGTGAGGTCCAAGGGGGAGAGAAACGGGGGCGAGGGGTGGGAATCTGGAGGCAGAGGGGCGGGGGAGATTTCAGGCAAAGAGGAGAAACCAGCGCTAGTGGTCGAGATACAGCTCAGTAGCAGGAGAATGCAAGAAGGAAGGGTCTGGATTTAAGATCGCATCTGGGGGTATTTACCTGGTGGATAAAAATAAATTAAAATTGCGGGGCGTGGGAACGCTGTTTGAGAGCAAAGTATGTGAAATAGATGGCCTTGAGATCCCACCCACCCTCCTCCACCGTTGCTAATGAGAATCAGCTGTAGACACACCGACAATCCAGTTCACCCCCAAAGTGGAGGCACCCCGGATTCGAGGATTACGCGCTCGAAATCTATGCAAAAGTTTATTCTGAAGCAAGTCAAGCCAAGTTCAGTGGGACTTCTTCCTAAATGCGTGTGCACAGGATTTCAGAGTCAATGAGACTTCAGTGCTGCAATCCTATACACACTTACCTGGGAGTAATAAGTCCCATCGAACTCAAAGGGCCTTTCTCCTGAGCAAACATGGATAGGAGCGGGACGCGTTGGCCTTTTAAGGAGACTACAGAGGTAGACACTCCGAAACTTTGCCTTCACTTGAGTTATGGATCACGCTGCCTTGTAGTTTTCTGTTGTTGCTGGTGGTTTCCTTGGTGAAGCCAGCCGCTCCTTCCCACTCACCCCTGCTCGCTCATTCACTCCGCCCCCGTCCTTGCAAGGCCCCAGTTAAAATATGCTTCAAACCCACATACTTAAATAGGCGACATTCGAAGGGGAGATCGGCCTGCAAAGCCAGAGATTTCCCTCGGATCGTGGGCTAGCGGGTAGGGGAAGATTGGAAGACGAATCAGCGTGGACGGGAAGTCTGGGCAAGGAGCATTTTTCTCTCCTTGGGTAAATCGGGACCCTCAGCGGAGAAGTAGCCCTACAACTCCTTAACAGTAATAGCAAGCCTGCGCCTATCTACCCAGAAGTAACCCTCCATGGTTGGGGTGGATGAACGTTGTAGTCAAAGATATCTGGCAGGGGGCGCAAAGTTGGGGAATCTGTGGCTCTCCAGATGTTGTCGGACACCAGTTCCCATCAGCCCCAGCCAGCAGGGCCAACAGTCGGAGATGCCGGGAGTTGTCTTCCAGCAACTTCTGGAGGGCAGCCAGCCTAAGCCGCCCCACTATGCACGTGAGTGGAGGTGGGGGTATTAGTCAATCTGTGCCCCTGTTTGGATCCAGGCAGATGTATATTTGTATATGGGGGAGGGGCAGTTCCAGAAAATGGGCTTCCTTTCTTGGTGGGCCAACCCAGTATGCAGGTTTTGTACCTTTAAGGCCCCTTGAACTTCGTGAGAGGCGCACAGGATCGGGTTGCGCCCCTTTCGAAGTCAAATGCTATACTTCTGAGTCATCATCAGGTGTTTGGAATTCAGCCTCGTGCTTAACATTATACAGTGGTACCTCGGGGTAAGTACTTAATTCGTTCCGGAGGTCCGTTCTTAACCTGAAACTGTTCTTAACCTGAAGCATCACTTGAGCTAATGGGGCCTCCTGCCGCCGCGCTGCCGGAGCACAATTTCGGTTCTCATCCTGAAGCAAAGTTCTTAACCCGAGGTACTATTTCTGGGTTAGCGGAGTCTGTAACCTGAAGCGTCTGTAACCCGAGGTACCACTGTAATTCAAACTCAATGTAAGCAACCTTAAGCACACTTACTTACAACCGAGTAAGTCCCGCTGAACTCTGTAGGCTTAACTCCTCTGAGAAACTCCCTTAGGATTCTGAGGGGCCATTTAAGATAGGCTGTTCTGAAGAACAAGAATTCCGTGACTCTTTACAAAATGATTTGGGGGCGGGGGGAGAGAAAATGGTTTTAAGCCATACTATCCGCTTATTTTCTTCTGATCAACACTAATATGCCTTTAAAAAGGGGGGGGGGAGTTTTGGGTTCCTGTTCCTTCTTGAGTATTGTTCTGTGGGAAGGTCGGGGAGACAAAGTTTGAGAAATTATTTGAAATACAAATGCAGAGGGGAGCTGGAAATCGACCTTTACAACAACAACAAAATCTCTCCAACTTCCGGACAAATGTATTTTACCTCGGTGATTTCATTAACTAAGTCCGTCCGCGCCTGTTCGGCTGCTGCTTCTTATTTAGACGGTTAGGTGGTGTTTGCCATCAGGCCCGAAATCCAGTATCCTTGAGAGAGGAGCAAGCCGTAGGCATTCACGATTTCAGGTCAGATCCGCTGCCCTGCGCTCCGATTCCAAATCGGAGTCAGCCTACGATTGCATTGTCAGTGAATAAATTATCCTCGAAATGTCAGCCTGCCTTTTCCAGAAAAACACCCCCTAAACGAAACGAGTTAAGTCCCATGGACTTCAACGAAACTTTAATTCCCAAATAAATCTGAAGGTCACAGCCTTTCTAAAGTGGAGGGAATCGAAAGATAACTGAGAGTGTCGTTGAATGAACAGGTTTAGCTGTTTGTTTGAACCATTCATTCTTAACGGAGCAACCAAGCAAGAACTGAACTCAAACCGATTGTGTAAAGTTTACACCCATAAAGGCGGAAGTCAGGCAAACACGCGTGACTTCTCCACTAGCAATATATGTGGTGTGTGTGTGTTCCCCGGAAGAAAATGATCGGCAGCCGTTTAAGCCGAAATACTTGGACTTAAGCAGGTTTGGTTTTATGGATGTACTAAAGCGCGCCAAGGTTCTAGTCCCTGGCACGGAGCCTTTAACGGGATTGTGGATCGCGCTCAATAAACGACGCTAGTTCGGTCCTGTATCGCAGAGGGCGAAGCTGGTTCTGAACATGGCTGGTGGTTTTAAAAGACACCCGCTTCCCCCCCCCAAAAAAAGAGGGGGGGAGAGAGAATGGCGTGTGGGTCAACGAGGACTCCTAGCGGGCTCTAAATGAGAGATGCGAGGCACATTCGTTTGTCCGTAAACTCACAGGAAAGCAATGGACTTGTCTGCACAAATAAAACGTTTGTAGAAAATAAAACCAAAGTGTGCACGCTGTGCCCAGGTGAAAATCTACGGTCTCTCTCTTCAACTTTTTGCATTGGCTTTCTCCACAAACAATGGTTTGTTTAGATCTGGATGACAAACCCCCAAGCCATCTTCATCTCAGGGACCTCGAGTCAAATGTATCCGGCTGACCTGTAGGCTGCAGCAGGACCTGGAGTGGAGCGCTGCCCGTTAGCCCCGAGGTTGAGTTTCTGACTCTATATAGACAGGGACTGTTTTATTTTATTTGTATTTTATTTGCTACGGCTTCACTCTTTAGGGAACGCTAGGCTGCTGTTCGTAAGAGGCAGCAGGTACAAAATATTAGCTCGCTGCCTTCTGATATTTTGGAAACGGTTCCTTTTGAAAGCGCTCTAACGTTTCTCAGAGTCCGGGTCCCAAAGAAGTAAACTCGGAAGTCAAATCCCATTCACGCCCAATAGGCTTTCTCTCCCCTTACCCCCATTAAAATTGCAATCCCCGCGAGAAAGCCCAATGGAACTCAAGGGGATTTACTTCCAAGTTGACACGTTCTAGAATTAGGCTGTAAATCGCTGGAGATCGCAAGCTAAGGGAAGACTTTGAAGCAGAGTTTAAAGTGTGTGTGTGTGTGTTGTCCTGTTGATGACAAAAGTCTCTGGCTACACAGACGACTTGAGAGGCTTTAGAAATTTGGCGAAGCTTTGGCCCTTGCCATTTCCCCGATCCTGAATGTTCAAGGCGTTCGCAAAGACTGCGCGGATTTTTCCTCTCCTTGCTGCGCGCCGATTTAAATCCCTGACATTTAATTTTGTTCAGGGAACTTCCCGCTGGTCCGGCCTGTCACCTCGCCCCAGCTGCTAGGATAACCACCCCAGGACGTCTTCCTTGGGGTCCCTCTGCCTTCTATTGTACATCCTATTTCCACTCGCCCCCCTTCCCACCCCCCTTTCAGTTCCACTTGGTTGACT